TTTTTTTTGGAAAGTTTCTAAAAACATCAAAAAACAATATTAACTAATTTTCTTATGATTTCTTAGATTTTTTTTCGAATTCAACAAATTCTAATACAAAGTTGAGTAGTGTATAAATAGAAACGATATAAACAAACATTTCATTGTTATCAGTCATAATTAATTTTTTTTTTGATAAGTGAAATTATTTTTTTACATAATCTGCCAAGATTTTATAAAATTGTATTTATTACTTTCACACACACACATACAGGGTGAGCAAAAAATCCAAAACCGAGCGTTTTTTTTTTCCTAAAAAAAAATGATCGAGTTCAAACCTTTCGTCATTGGGCCCCTTGAGTGGGTTATTCCCCGCGAAGCCCAGCATGTTGATATGGTCCTTGACGAGCATAATATCCCCAATTTTAAACTTGTCGTTGAGCCCCCCTGCGGCATTCGAGGCAATTAAATGCGAGACTCCGATGAGTTTCATCACTCTGACGGGCATTGCGCACTTCCACAGGGGGTACCCCTCGTAATAGTGGAACCGGCCCTGCATGCATACCACTGGTATGCCCGAAAGGTACCCAAAAACCAGTTTCCCCATGTGGCCAGGGACCGTACTCACGGGAAAATGGGGGATTATTTCGTAGGGAAACTCTTTTTTATTTTCCAGAGCGTCGGCCAAACACCCTGTAAAAAATAACACGATTGCAAAATTTTAAAATTTATTTGTTTAAAAATAAAAATAAAAATTCAAAACCTTTATTCCAATACGCACCCATACCGGACCCACATATTATACCAATGGAGGGTTTAAATGGGACACGACTTAGCAGAAATTCGGCCGTTTCAGTGAGATTTTCATATGTGTATCTGAAATTTTTTTAATTAAAAAAAAAATAAATAAATAAGAAATAATTTACTCACTTTTCGTCCGTTTCGATGTCGGTTTTTTTTGTGCCGTTTTTGTGCGAATTATTTGTTGTTGGCATTTTCGTGCTTGTTTCTACAAAGTTGAGATTAAGACAGAATGTAATTCATCGATGTTTTACTATTCATTACAAAAGCTGATAAATTATTGGTGACGCAACAAACAATAATGATAAATTATGCTCAAAAAACAATATTTAAAACGTAATGAGCAAATATTTACATGTTCTAATTTCGCAACAGAATCGATTAGTACTGACAAAAATAAATTATAATTAAAAAATGTGAAAAAATAAAAAAATAGTAAAGTGAATATTACACTATCAATTTTTATATTCTCCTAAAAACTTGATAATATAAAAAAACTATAACATTTTGATAGCTCTAATGTTCAATTATTTTATTTTAATGTACTGTAGTTGAGGTGAGAAAAACCCATTTGTTGTTTTAATAATTATTATAGCATCGAAACAAAGGACTCAAAGAACAAAAATACAAAAAAAAAGCAACAAAACCTGCTTTAAATTATCTACAGGGTGATTCAAAAGTGTCGGACCAACTCTCGAATGGTGATAGAAGATTTTGAATTAAACACAAAAATAAATTCATATTTTTTTAAGCCTTTTTTTAAATACATTTGTCAATTTCCATGTTATTATGTATACTCGTTTTGTCAAAGAGATACTTTTAAGGTGGCAACCATGCGAAAATTCAAACAATCCTAACCTCAATCTTCCCTAAAAATTATTTTGTTGTAGCTAAAAATAATTAAAATTATCAAGGTAATTAACTTAGGGCAGATTTTTGTCATTATTGATGTGATTTATTCTGAATGACATTAATAACACTTTTTATGTGAATCTGCCTTTAAATTAAAGATGCATTTAGACTTCTACAACCTACTTGGATACATATTAAAAAAAAGATGCTTTATTTTATTCTCAATTTTATCTATCAATATCTCAAAAAGTACTCATCATAGAGCATTTCAACTTTTTGCATTGAGTTCAAAACGTAATTTTACGTCTAGAACACCATATTTTAAGCGTTTTTGATCGACTATTTTTACGAAACAAATCTTCAAAAACTCAAGATTGGTTTTTTAAATTTGACACATTTTTGCACTTTTCTAAGAAGTGCCTACATTTGGTTTAATTTTTTTGATTTTTGTCAAAATTTTGGGCGATTTTTGTTTAATAACTTTGAAATTCAATTTTTGTTTTTATTTTTGTCATTTCTTCTTAAAGAATTCTTTTTCGTTTTATCTTTTTGTTTTTGAGACACTGTCTATGATTTTCTTCTTTACTTTTAGTTATTAAATAACTTCCGAATTTATTTTTATTTAAATTTTATATTGTTTATAATAATTATTTTTATGTTATAATTGTTTTTTTTTTCTATCAATTTTCTTTTGAGGTTAAGTTGAATAGCTTCAAGATAGACTTCGCCTCCGCATCTTTGTATTACTTTTAATTTATTAATAAAGACATTTATTATTATTATTATTATTATTAAATTATTATCAAAAATTTGCACTTTTCTAAGGAATACCTACATTTGGTTAAATTTTGAAGTGCATATTTGGTTTTTTCGATTTTTGTCAAAATTTTGGGCGATTTTTGGTTAATAACTTTGAAATTCAATTTTTGTTTTTGTTTTTCTCATTTCTTCTTAAAGAATTCTTTCTTGTTTTTTCTTTTTGTTTTTGAGAAACTGGCAATGATTTCCTTCTTTACTTTTAGTTATTAAGTAACTTCCGAATTTATTTTTGTTTAAATTGTATATTGTTTATAATTATTTTTATTTTTGATATAATTGTTTTTTTTATCAATTTTCTTTTGAGGTTAAGTTGAATAGCTTCAAGATAGACTTCGCGTCTGCATCTTTATAGTACTTTTAATTTATTAATAAAGACCTTTATTATTATTATTATTATTATTAAATTATTATCAAAAACTGTCTGATGTTTGGTACCGTTGTAAAGCACTTTAATTTCCTACCTCATAAAAAATCATTGTCCTGTGGTAAGCAGTTAGTGAGAAAATCGAAAAATAAAAATACCCTAAATATGAATTCGACAATAACTTATAAACTATAGTAGATTTCATTGAAATTGGCATAATGGGTGGCTATGGAAATTCAAATTTAAGTTTGTAGCCCTGCGCATGTCCCTAGTATAATAGCAGATGGGGTTTTTATTTATTTTTTTTTGTTTACACTGTGATCTGACTGACATTTGTATTCGTTTTTTCACTGTTTTCGTTGCTTTTTCATTATTCTCACCATTTTTTCAAATTACTCATTGTTTGGAAACAAAATTTTTCCATTTATTCTCGATTTTACTTTGTAACAAGAGCTGGGGAAATCGCGTTGTACGGTTGGTATTTTGGTACGTTTTTTCATACCAACTCAATAAATAGTATACCACTAAATAATGTTAAATTATCTTTTTTTACATAATTTTGAGTTATTCGTTACAAAAAACCTTGTATGTAACTCTTTCAGAAAGTTGTCTTTCCGAATTGGTTAGGTAAATAACTATTTCAGAACTCCAAGGTATGTTTGACAACATAAGCAATTTCTTTTTATTATTCCTATTTTAGGTTAATTTAAATTTCGAGTTGTGGAAAATGGGTAATTTAACTACAAGAAAATTTGAAACGACTTTTCACTGCTACAATGAATTAATTAATAAAAGATTCATCAAACGTTTTTAAGTAGGATAATTTAAAAATAAATTTGAAACGATCTTAACCTCACTTTTTTAGTGACAAATCTTGTTCCTTTATATGTAAGGCCCCTTTCACATTGAAAGTGTGGCCTACTTTCAATGAAAAATCAAACACAAAATCACTTGTTGGAAAAACTCAACAAAACCATAGGAAAAACGTTTCTTTTGGCCAATTAATAAAAAAACAGAGTTCTTAAAATCCTTTTATTTAATGGAATCAACGGTGTTTTCACACAATAAATCAGTGTATCACACGTTATTGTGCGTTTCAATGATCATTAACTTATTTCCCAACCATGGGAAACAAAAACAAATTTCGTTTAAAAGTATCAACATTTCTGATAAACGTTGGTGTCCCTGCATCACTTTGAATCTCATTGCTTTCAATAAACTTGATTGCTAATTGCGTCACTAGAACAAAAATTAAAAACCCTAACTTAAAAAAAAAAAAAATTACCCTCTTTTTTTCCTTCATCACCACTCATTTCCTGTTTTGTGAAACCCGCCACTTGAATACTCAATTTCCGCCCATTGAGAATATGTGTTTCCCACCACTTGTGTACTTCCCCGATTGTAAGTTTCTCAACTTGTGAAATTTCTTGTTGTAATCTGTCAAACATATAGTCTTCGTCGGCAATTTCCGACCAATTTCGGCTAAACTCCTCCTTCAAATGCACATCAACACATCGTTTTGTCTTAATAAAGTCAAGTTTCGTCGTTTCAAATGCCTCCTCAGGCATGTTTTTCAACAAATCTGAGGCATGTTGAATAAATGCCTCGATTCGAGTGTCAACATACCCGGTTGTGTTTTTCGTCGCTTGGGCATTAACCGTTATGGAAAAACCCAAAATTCCGAAGGTGTCTCGATTTGAACAGCTAACGTCGTAACCCAACTGTTCCTTAGTACGAAGAGTATCAAATAACGGTTCCTGTATTATCAACTGAAATTTAAAACGTATTTGGGGCACCAAAACCGGTTAACCGGTTAACATTACCATTAAAACTTCGATTATAACCGAATCGTTGACAGAAAACGGCCCACACTGGTAATAATTGGTTATAACCGAATTTGAATCACTCACATTGAACGATTCTAACATACAGTAATTAGCCCCACTTGGAATTTGACCAACACGAAACTTGAAATTTTAATTAAATTCATTGATTATTTCGTTAAAATGACTCACTTTTGGGTACAAATGAGGATCAATCGGTTTACAATTTAAGCTTGAAACTAGATTATTAACCACGTTTATGGCATGCTCTCTAGTGACATTCCCCTGAATTAAAACTTTAATAAATAAGTTTTGAATAAAACCTTCAGCGAATTTTTTTAAATCGTCAAGTGTTAAAGAATGTGCCACGTTGAATTTATCAACTAATGAATTGTAATTATCCACGAGAATATCCAAACGTACATCCCTGTAAAAATCGTTTTTTTTTTTGAATAATTTATTTTGAAAAACTCACTTTGCCAAACTGCTGGGTCTCAATAAACAGTTGTAGTAATACTTGATTAACTTATTTTTCACCGGTTCAAACATGTCTTCGGTGAGGTTTGTGTTAAAGTTGAGCATGTGTTTTGTGATTAATTCGATGAGAACCTGCAAAAAAATTTTTGTATTACTTATTTATTAAGTTTTCAAAAAAATCAAAACAATTTCTTTGAAAATTTGTAAAGAATTTCAAGAATTACTACTGACTAATTTTGAAAAAATTTTTTTTTATTTCTTCGATTATTTTTCAAATTTAACTAATACAAAATTGTAAACAAAGTTGAAAATAGATTTTCCAAAACAATAGAAAAGTTAATGTCACCAAAAATTTAGAAAAGTTTTCTATATTTTTTTTGTTCTAAATCAATGTATTTAGCAAAATAATTGTTTAAATCGCAATCTTCGCCAAAATAAAGCAATTTCTGCTATTTCCAATAGATTTGGCTCAATTTTAAGCAAGAAATTATTGTAAATTTAGACATTTTACCGATTTTAACAATATAAAAGCTCAAATTACGATTTTTTGACAAAATATATAAAGAGATTTGTGTTAGTTCTAATGGATTTTTGCTTGTCACTAAAAAAGTGAGGTTAAGATTGTTAAAATTTAAAATTTTTGTGTGTCCTCTAGGAGAGAACTACTTTTAATTATAATTTGGAAATAATAAACAAGCAACGAAAATAGTCAGGTAAGTAATCAAAGAAAAACAAAAACGCCAAGTGTGACATGCGCAGGGCTACAAACTTAAATATGAAATTCAATTTCAATGAAATATACAGTGTTCCGTCTAAACCCCACATTAAAAGTATTGAGAGTTTGAATAATCATATTTGTTTGAAAATTGGTACATAGCCATAATGCATTAAGTCCTCCTAAATGAAAATATTTTCATGATGGCGGCACTTCCGGTTATACCGGAAGTCCGTCTCAACTTTCTTATTTTAAATGGAAAGGTATATTTTTTACTGCGTTTTTGGATTAATCGGTTTATTTTAAGGGAGTTTTCACCAGCTTTCCCTATACCTAAATTTAGCCGTTTTTGAAATATTTGGAGTTTTTCAAAAAAATTTGGATCTACACCTTCCACTTTAAAAATTGGTAACTCAGCTATTTTTTAAAATTTTGAATTCGTTTTTTGGCGTTTGAAAGAGAAAGTGTAGATCTTTCTTCCGGTGTTTCTAAATTTTGAAAAAAAATTAACAAACCATAAAATTTTAAGGTTACTTTTGTAATAATTCAAATACCCATAACTCAATTTTTCCAAATGAAATACCCCAATTTTTATTTTACTAAATGGAAGAGAATTTAATTCTGCATCAGTCTACATTAACATTCCCTATACCTAAATTTAATAATTTTTAAGTTATGGTGACTTTTTGTTAAGACTGTCAAAAATCTATTACGTTTTCGTATAGTTTGCTATGGGAATAAAAAATGTCAAAATTGTTTCTCAATAAACGTCGATAGTGACTTATCATTTGACAAACAGTGCCAAAATATGGAGAGTCAAAGCTACTCAAACTTAGATTTAATTAATTTATTTTGTATTTATAGAGTGTAACAAAATTATGATGTCGTTCATTAAACAAAAATAAATTTTTTCTTACTTGTTAGCTTTAAATAATGATCGCATGGTAGAACTTATCACTAATAATTAAGTTTACATAACTTTGAATCTTCATATTTTGGCACTATTTGTTAAATAGTAATTTACTATTGACGTTTGTTTAGAGAAAATTTTGACATCTTTGATTTCCATAGCAAACTATGTGAAAACGGTTGTGGCTAGTAATAAATTTTCTGTAGTCTTAACAAAAAGTCCATAACTTGAAAATTATTAAATTTAGGGAATGTTAATACAGCTCAATACACAATTAAATTCTCTTCTATTTAGTAAAATAAAAATTGGGGTATTTCATTTGAAAAAATTGAATTATGAGTATTTGAATTATTACAAAAGCAACCTTAAAATTTTGGGGTTTGTTAATTTCTTTTTCAAAATTTGGAAACACCAGAAAAAAGATCTAAGCTTTCTCTTTCAAAAGCCAAAAAAACGAATTCAAAGTCTTAAAAATGGCAGAATTACCGATTTTTAAAGTGGAAGGTGCAAATCCAAAAAAAAAACTCCAAATATTTCAAAAACGGCTAAATTTAGGTATAGGGAAAGCTAATAAAAAATCCCTTAAAATAACTCGAATAATCCAAAAACGCAGTAAAAAATATACCTTTCCATTTAAAATAAGAAAGTTGAGACCGACTTCCGGTATAAACGGAAGTGCCGCCATCTTGAAAATATTTTCATTTAGAAAGACTTAATGGTTTATGGCAATGTACCAATTTTCAAATAAATCCGATTATTCCAACTCCCAATACTTCTAATGTGAGGTATATACATGTAGTTTTTCGTTGTAGCCTGAAACTCCCACTATAATCCCTTTATCGTAATTTTTAAACGAGTACGATAAGTGGGCTGCGGTGGCAGGATATGCCTCTTCAACTAACTGAATTTGAATGAGGGTCATGTAGAAATCAGCCAAAGCCGCCCTAAAAACCAAAAATCACCACATCCAAATTTCAAATTTGAAAAAATTACGTTTTTGGTGCATTCAAACCCATGGGATTAATAAAATAGAAGTTATAGTAGGCGATGGGCAACTTGAACTTTTGATCTTTCCTATACCACACTTCCACTAGAGGTGTGTTTAAAATTTTTTCCGGATATTCCGGATGATTCTCATCTTCATCTAAAATGGTGAAATTTTCAGTCAAAAACTGGTTCGGTGGTGGTAGAGAAAACTCGTTAAGTGGTGTGGTTTTTTGCCATTTTTTCAACCATTCCTTTGGGATTTCTATGAAAGAAAATCAATCATGGGAAAATTGGTGGGATTGTGAACCTTTTTCCGTGTAATTGGTGCCGAACCACTTTTCGGTTTGGTCGAAATTCAGACCTGGGGGTAATTTATTGTGTAAAACAATCACGTTCATTTTTTCCGGTACAAGACTGTTTAGGACCATTTTAATGGCTTCAGGATCGTATTCGAAGAATAGTTCGGAGCCTGTGAGGTAGTCTTCAGGTGGGTAAATCTGCATGTCTTCAGATAAGCTTTCCACGTGATCAGAGGCCGTTTCCTCCCTTGCAAATTTAAACGAAATATCAGCAATCATTTTCATTTCGTTATAAAGGCGTTCTTGGGGACCCACTTTTTTCAACATATTTATATAAGAAAAGACAATTTCGATCACCTACATTTTCAAATTATTGGAAAATTATTACAAATAAAAAAAAACCTCATTCAAATGTTTGAATCCTTCGTCCACTAAAGTCATACTTATGGTAAAAAGGGCATACAAGGAGTTATGCTCACTGCCCGATTCCCCGTTTCCGGCCGAGATGCTCAAAACCCAAACTCTACAAGAAAAAATATTATTTCTAAATTATCCAAAATTCAAAACAAAAAAGTCGATTTTTTTCATTCTAAATACATACATTTGAAAGTCAAGGTTGCCAAACAAAAATTTTAAATTTGACACCAATGTAAAAAATGACAATCATTTACAGTCACCCTATATTAACGTTTTTACTTGAAAAATATGCTAAAAAACTTGATAGGGCAAAAATTATGTCTTGATTTGATGTTTTTTGGTTTGTTTTAGCAAAATTTGGCAATTAACACCATTTTAGACCATATTTTGTATTTTTTGTCGTATTTTTTTTTGATAAAATTTCACTCAAATGAGCTCAAATTTAGATTTATTTTTGTTGTGTCTAAGCATGTTTTGACAATGTCCTGTAAAATAAATGCGTCTCTGGTTCAAAAACGAACTAAATCTGGCGAAACATGCTTAAATGATATCAATTTCAAGCTAATTTGGTAATTTTTCAGTCAGTTTTGGCAAAAATTTGAGTGTTGAAACACTATAAAAATGCAAAAATAACACTAGTTTTGGCCTAGTTTGATAAATTTTCGGTTTGTTTTTAACGAAATTTTGCAAAATAGTTCTGTTTCTTGCTAAAAACATTCTAAAACGCTCAGAAATGGACAAAATAATGTACTTTTTGACCCATGTTAGAGATTTATTTTTTTAACTTGTTGAGTGAAATATCATTTAGAAAAACATCTCTCGATTTTTTAACTCGTTTTTGACAAAAATTAGTAATTAAATTAATTTAAATTAGTTTCTGTCTCGGTAAAAAACGTGCAAAATGCCCAAAAAAATACAAAAAAAGAATAGTGTCATCATTTTTAACTGAATTTACTATATCAATAATTAAAAAAGGTAATTTTATTAACATTTAGACGAATACTCGTTTTATAAAAATTAATATAAAATACATTAATTTTCTGCTAGAACTACAGTCACGTTTCTAAAAAATGGCGTACTACCAAATGTTTATTAGGCACCCGAAAATACCCAACATTACAACATTTCAACACATTTTCGCACTGAACCACGAAATAAGTAATTTATTCGGACAATTATTAACTCATTATTTATTTATTGTTTCTGGCTAAAAACATTCTAAAACGCCCAGAAATGAACAACATAATGTACTTTTTGACCCATGTTAGAGATTTATTTTTTTAACTTATTTAATTTTCTGCTGTAACTACTGTCAGGTTTCTAAAAAAAATCATCAAAAATTAGTTTTTACAAAAGTTTTCACCAAATCATAGTATCTATAAAAATCAATGTTTCATTATATTTTTCCAAAAAACGCAACTAATCAACGATATAGCGTAGAAAGTTTCGTCCCACTTTTAATTTTAAATACATGTTTTGTATAAAAAAAATATATATACAGTGTGTTTCATTCTTGCAGTAAAAAGCATGAAACCAAATGTTTTTTGCTTTAAATATCGTATATCCAAAAAAACTACTACGAAAATGTCATAGTTTTTCAAGACGAAATATGAAGTCGATTTTTTCATTCTATACGGTTTTTTTATAATTTTTTGTGTGTCTCATTCTTGCATTAAACATATACAATAGCAAGAAGCAAAAAAACAAAAGTTTTTTTAAAAACTACTACGAAAATTTTATTGTTTTTCAAGACGTACATACTTAAGTTTTTATAAAAATTTTGTATACAAGGTGTTTTATTCTTGCAGTAAAAAGCATGGAACCAAGAAGTTTTTGCTTTAACCGTTTTCTTTTTGAAAAACAAAGACTAAAATTAAAAAAAAAATATTGAAAACTGTATTAAAAAAATTTTCAAATATTTAGCAATTTGCGTCCCGACTCATAATTTTGAAAATGCAGCGAATGCGGTTAAAGATACAAGAAAAATATAAAAAAGAAAGTTGTAGAGAATAAAATTTTGAAGATAAAAGTCTGCGAGAGATACCTCTATCTTCAATGGTTTAGGTCCTAAAGACGTTCAAGTGACGAATACGTGTCATTTTTACCGGTGGTAAAGGAGACAAAAAATTAATTTAAACCTAAACGGTTGAAGATAGAGATATGGTCTCGCGGACTTTTTTGTAGGAAATTTAATTCTCTACAACTTTGTTCCCTACACTTTTTTTGTATCTTCAACCGTATTCGCAGCGTTCTCAAAAATATCGAAAACAGTATTAAAATTATCAGTTTGCGTTCCGCCCAATATTTTTGAGAACACTGCGAATACGGTTAAAGATACAAAAAAAGTGTAACAAACAAAATTGTAGAGAATAAAATTTGCTACAAAAAAGTCCCCGAGACCATATTTCTATCTTCAACGGTTTAGGCTTAAATTGCTTTAAAGTGTTCCTCTGGCACTGAATCACCAGTAAAAATGTCACTTGAGCGGCTTTAAACGTCTTTGAGGCCTAAACCATTAAAAATAGAGGTATGGTCTCGCGGACTTTTTACTAGAAAATTTTATTCTCTACAACTTTCTTTCTTAGATTTTTCTTGTATCTTAAACCGTATTCGCAGCATTTTGAAAAACATGAAACGGAACAAAGATTTTAAATTTTTAATATTTTTTTCTCATATTTCTCGTGAAAAATTTAGTCGTTCGTTTTTCACATCTTATTAAGAATGTAAACAACGTTTTTGCATTTTTTCCAAGCAATTAGTGGTCTGGTTAAATTTAAATTAATTTAAAACGATTTGAAATTGAGACTGTAATACATTTTTACTACTTTTTTGGGTCCAAAAAATCGAGCAATTTTGTATTTCCGTAATTATGCCAAAATATCAAAAATTTTATAAATAAGACTATAAAAACAATTTGTCATATAATTACAAGACACCCTTTGTAAAATAAAAAGTTTTGTTAGTGTCGATTATAACTAAAATAAGTGAAATTTGAATAAGCTTACTTTTTTTTGAGATAAGCCAAAAGACTGCCTTTTCCCTCATCACCAAGCACCCACGACACATATTGATGTGGTTTACTCTTGTATTTGTTTAGTAGAGAAGGCAAAGCCCACGTCAAATCAAGCTAAATAACCAAAAATGAAACTATTTCAGGTACCAGAAAAAAAATCATTATACCTGCATGACTTCATTTACAGGTTGAATATAATAAATTTTTGTAAACTTCGGAGTATCAAAGACATTTGTAAATTGTGTAAAATCATCAGGTGGTAGATCATTCGAAGGCACATTACTGAAACACTCTATTACGTATTTTTCTAATTCTTCCATAGGCAATCTGGCCTAAAAATAGTACATTACAAGCGAGGTGGTAAATATGGCATTACCCCGGATAAAGCACAAGGGGTAATGCCATTACCATCGAGGTTTGTATGCTATTTTATTCACAATCACATTATTTTCAGTCAAAAATTTGAGTAAAATAAAATTCTAACAAAGTTAAGGTCCAAACGTAGTAGGCCATCCAAATGACATTTCAGAAATGTCAAAGAAAATATTGAAATAATGTGTTAATCTGATTTAAAGTCGTCGAAATGGAGCAATGTACTCCCCCAGAATTAAGAGAAACTGCTACAAAAGCAATTTAATACTAATTTAGCGAAATATTATGCGTAAAAGAAAAAATTTCCGGTATTTTCGTAATTTTAACGTTGGCAATCCTGCATATTACCACCCAAGAGGAGTAACATTTATTACTCTTCATGAGAAATAATGACATGTTTCCCAATCTTAAAAAGGTTAGTAATCGGCAAATTATATTGGTGATTGTGAATAAAATATTTTAAATGGAGAAAACGATATTTTGGTGTAAATACTTGAATTGCTAGAGTCATTCTATGGGCGGAATAATGACGTTTGCGAAACTCATGCACGCCTTCATACAATTCATCTTCAGAAACATTGTCTCTGAGAGTAATTAAATTACCCCAAGTGAATGTATTGACAGGACTTTTATCATCAGAAAGACTAGCAAGAAGTTGTTCTTTGCGGTAAGTATCTGAGGGCAAAGCCATTTGAAATTCTGACTCAATCGCTTCTCTTTCTCTCGTAATGGAGCCCCTTTTCATTAGTGGCGATATAAAAAACTGAGCAAACTTATCAAGTGCTGTTAATAAATCCTTCTCAAGACATTCAAAATAGAAAGTTGTGTGTTCACAATCAGTCGAAGCGTTATCAGAGCCGCCCCTTTTCTAAAATAGAAAATTGTGTTTTTTTTATTTCTTTCTTAATTGTTGATATTACGGAAATGAATGAGTCGAAATCGTTCTCTTCTGGAAACTTTTCACTACCCATAAAAACCATGTGTTCCAGGAAATGGGCCATTCCAGGGATGGGTTTAGGGTCACTGAAACTTCCAACACCAATACACAAACTAGCAGCCGCCTAAAACCCCTTGTTTTCATTTTTTTATATTACTCAGTGAGACAAATCAAATGCACTAAAAAATTTCAAAAAGTCTACACACTTTGAACTAATTAATTTTTTTTCTAATTTAAATGAATTTCAAATACTTTAACTTTAAAAAATCATTACTCAATAACTATTAGGCCGATTTTTATTGACCAATTTTGTAGATGAGGTGCACATTATGTTTTTTCTTTAACTCGAAGCGTTTCATCTTTAGTTGTTGCGAAAGAATCAAATAAGTGTTTTATAATTTATATTAAAAATCTCATTGTCATAAAACAACAAAATGTCAAAATATGACTGAAAATTTCATTATTATCATTGTGATAAAAGAAAAAACAATTACACTACAAAAAGTAAGAAACTAAGCATTTTTTTTAATCATTTGTCGTCAGGAAAGTGAAAAAAATTGTTTTGTTTCAACTTAAATGAAATTTTTATCGGTAAAAATTGAATAAAATGTACCTAGATAGTTGTAACCCTTAGATAACAGCCTTAGAAAAAAAAATACAAAAATCAATAAAACCTGTGATAATATAATTAAAATAAAAAATTACTTTTCTTACATTTTTTTTACTGTTTTATAGGTTTTTTGAAACTATAAATTAGGCTCTCATAATGAGAGTTTTTTTGTTTTTAAATTAAAACTGTTTAAAACAGGCCAAAATTACTTCAATTTCCGTATTTCGACTTATTTTGACAAAATCGCTTGAAATAGCCAAAATAACGCCAATTAGATGACGAAATCTTAGAAAATAAATTGACTCCAAAACAATGTAAATCTATTGAAAAAATCAAAATAGTTGATTTTATTTTATTGGGTAATTTATGTCAAAACATTGCAAATTTAACATGTTTCTGGCCCAATTTCATACAAAATCGTAGAAACAGGTCAATTTTAGGTGTTTTTCAGTTTTTTTTTAATGAAATCTGGCAAAATTAAATAAAAATAGTTAAAAAAACGAGTATAGTTGATTGAAAAAGATTGAAAAAAAAAGAGCAAATAACGTCAATTAATATCTAATTTAGTAATTTTTTAGCTAGTTTTAATAAAATTTTGGAAAATAAGTAAGTCCCTGGCCCAAAAACTTACTGTTTTTTGAGGATTTTGTAGCTGTAATGATAAAAGCTTTTTTTTATTWAAAAATGAGCTAAATCGTTTTAAACAAGCCAATTTCGATATAATTTAAAGATTTTTGGACTTATTTTGAGGAAATTTTAGAAATAATTTTTTTTATAAAAGCAAAATCGCTTGAAGAAAGCCAATTTGAGCATAATTCAGTGATTTTCCGGCTTATTACGACAAATCATATATAAAAAAATGCCTCAAAAACGAGAAAATAAGTTTTTTATAATTTATGTTAAAAATATCATTGTTATAAAACAACAAAATGTCAAAATATGACTGAAAATTTCATTATTATCATTGTGATAAAAGAAAAAACAAATAACACTACAAAAAGTAAGAATCTAAGCATTTTTTCAATCATTTGTCGTCAGAAAAGTGAAAAAAATTGTTTTGTTTCAATTTAAATGAAATTTTTATCGATAAAAATTGAATAAAATGTACCTAGATAGTTGTAACCCTTAGATAACAGCCTTAGTAAAAAAAATACAAAAATCAATAAAACCTGTGATAATATAATTAAAAGAAAAATTACTTTTTTTACATTTTTTACTGTTTTATAGGTATTTTGAAACTATAAATTATGCTTTTCATAATGAGAGCTTTTTTGTTTTTGAATTAAAACTGTTTAAAACAAGCCAAAATTACTTCAATTTCGACGTATTTCGACTTATTTAACAGTGTTCGAAGAAGTTCGAAGTAAATCGAAGTAATCTAAGAAAAATCCTACAAGTAATTTTTTTTTCTTCGTCACCATCGTGTAGAGCATTTTTTTATTAGTAAGAATTTTTAAAATAATACACCGAGTAGTTTTTAAGATATGATTTTTTGAAGTTAAGGTTTGCTAATCAAGGGAAGAAATGCATATTAATCTTACTTAAAATTGCATTTTTATAAAAGTATTTGTTTTAGGACTTTTCTTTTGCTTAAAAATGGTCAATTGCACCTTCTTTGTTCTAATTAGAATAAACAAAAACTGTTTCTTTACTTAAAACGAACAAAGAGTGTCTGCGTACTAATTAAAGCAAATAAAGAGTTTTTTTGTTCTAAAAATGATCACTGATCATTGAGCAAAAAGGATCTAGCAGTTTAAAGCAGTAATTTTTAGTCATATTTTGTTCTATAATATATTTTTAAC